TCTCCTATGCCTTACAAACATTTATTTCATGGCCAATCCCCGACACCTGTTCCTCCATTCATTCGAACAAGGTCGTCAGAAATGTAGTCCGCTGCCTACATTCGTTTTATTTACCTTCGGTATATCTTGTGAGTGTCAAATTCTCCCAAGTCTCATTTCTCATTATGTATTCAATAAATATCAGCTGTATATTTTTTATAGACTTTATCGTTGGTTAAACGCTCCGCCAATGGAATTCTCATCATCCTTCTGTTTGGCCACATTTTATGTTGTTTCCAGTTTTCTCTTCATCTGTGAGATTGCCCCGCATTCACGACTATAAAATATTTATATTAGATATATATGTATACCGTAATATATATTATGTGTATATATTATATAATATAAATATGTATTATGCAATATATATAAAATAAATATTACATGATATATATATATTATGCAAAATATATTATTTATGTATTAGGTAATATATATAATATATATTTATAACTATTATTTAATATATATTATATAATACATATATATATTATATGCAATATATATTATATAATATATGTGTGCATGTGATATATATATATATATATGTGTATTTGCAATATATATATTTAATATTTAATATTTATATTTTATAATATATTTAATATATATGTATTATGCAATATATATATATCATACAATATATATTATATGATATATATTAAGAAATATATATATTATATATAATATATATAATATAATATGTATATGTATTATGCAATATATATATATATATATATATATATATATATATATATATATATATATTATATAAAATGTATTATATATATATATAATATAAATATATATATATTATATATAATATAGGGTGACCCCAAAAAATGGGAATTTTTGATGTGCGTATTGCCAGACATGACCTTGAGCAAGTAAATATTTCACTTTTTAGAATTCAAGATGAAATTCACAGTATCCCAGCTGAGATGTTGCAGCAGTCAATAAGGAATCTCAACAGCAGATTTCAAGAATGCATTCGTACAGGAGGACCCCATCTACATGAGGTAATTTTTAAAAAATGAAAATTCTATCATTGTTTCTTAAATGGTATGTTTTAAGGTTTCAATTACTATGAATAAAATATTTTTCTTCCATCACTCTTGGTTTTATTGGATTGTTAAAAAGTTCCCGTTTTTGGGGGTCACCCTGTATATACGTGTATTGTGTAATATATATTATATAACATATAATACATATATATTATACGTATATATATGTATATTACATATGTATATTATATATTATATTTGCATATTATATATATTTCATTTGTATATTATATATGCGTAATTTATATATATATTATATTTATATATATGTATATTGTATGTATTATATATGTATATTATATACATATATATAGTTATAACATATTTGTATATTATAGGCACACATATATATCGCCTCTGTTACAAATGAAGTCATTATGACTGCCAAATATGACAACCAGGGCAATACATCTCTCTCCAACTTTTACTGGTAAACTCTGCTATTCATTTTTCTCTCCTCTTTTAATGACCACCAACAATGATTTCGAAATATCAGAAGCAACAGCTGCACAAACCATGAATTGTATTCTGTTACCTTCAAGAATGTTTCGTGGTGAATTGGCATAAACCCTATCGTTTTGGTAGTGAAACACGTCGTCTAGGGAAAAACCTGTCGTCCTTTTACAAACGAAGACTTTATTTGCGCAACGCTGCATCTCCACTAGACGTCTCTCCGCTCTGCCAGGCTGATTTCGCCTGGAGGCCCTTGAGATCAACTGTAGTCTATTAATCTTGTATTTTTTCAGCCATAAATACTATTTCACAAACTTCTTCAGTGAACCATCAGAAATATCTATTTGTCTTGGCATCTCCCTTGTGCTTCGACGCGGATATATCACCAGCTTAATGTGTTCATTTTGGTTGAGATAGGACATCTTGACGGCTACAATGACCTCTCCTGATGCAAACTGAACGGTTTTTTGTTGGAATTGGATTTACTGAAATTGTTTGCTCGTCTTCAAACTTTTTCAAAATATTGAGAACACTCAACTGTTTTATCATCTCACAATTCCTCATAAAAACTCATTTTCAATGCGACAATTTGATCCCGTTTTGTTTGAGCCGCTGTATTGAATTAAACCGTAATAAAACTAAAGAATGTTAGGAAACCTTATGTTAAATTTGAAACTATTTTTACGCTTTAAAACAAAGAATTTGCGGACAAATGTGTATATAGACTTTTGTTCTAGTTTTAGTGTGAGTATCCCGCCGCCAAGGTTTGTAAAAGTATTCTTGATACACCCTGTATATTAATTGATCACACCAAAGAATGAGTTCTCTCCTGGAATCTGTAACTAATGTCTCCTCTGCATGGTTGAAGTACAGACAACTGATGGAGTCTGTTGGTTGATATACAAGGTGAAACTGCAATCCTCTCTATGGTTCAAATTTCATGCTCATACCACCAAATTTTTTAACCACTATATCCGGCTATACAAGCGTGACATCTCTCGTTATAACAGGAGCCTATTTACTCCAAATGTAAGCGAGTCTGTTTTCTGAGAGAATGAGGTACCGCATAGCCTTTAAAAACTTTGACTCACGTGATTACTGGATTCTCTGTAATAGGGTACTAAATAAGTGCAAAGTTTCTATTCCCCCTCTTCAAACGATTTGAGGTGTTATCCTCCTTTGCTGATAAAGCTGAATAAGTTTCCCATAAATTCTCCTCAAACTCTACTCTTGGCTCATCTGGAGTATCCCTGCCTAACTTCCCACTTAGAACTGATTCTCCGCTGAGTGATATGCATATAACCCCTTTTATGGTATATGTTATCATCGCTAACCTTGATCCCCATAAAGCATATCGGCCCGATGATGTTCTTCCGAGCTGGCTCCTGTTCTCTCTAAACTGTATAATAAATGCCTCGCTGCTTCCTGCTTTTCTACCTGCTGTTGTTTCAGTTTTTAAGAACTCTGGTGAACCGTCTGACCCAACCAACTATCGCCCTGTTATTTATTTTTGGGAAACTCCTAAAGGCTCTAATTAATGCTGAATTGGTTCATCATCTGTCAGAGCAAGGTCTTTTCTCAAACAAGCAATACAGTGTTCGTTTTTCTAGGTCAACTGCTGATGTACTAACGATAATTTTGGAAAGGGTCTGTCATCTCGAGATAAAAACGGTGAAGCATTGGACAACTTAAAAGCCTTTGATAGGGTCTGGCATTCTGGTCTTCTCCACAAGCTGAAAAGTTACGGAATCTCCTGGCGCATTTTTGAGCTGATCCAGTCGCTATCAAATTGTGAAATGAAAGTTTTCCTGAACAGCCACTTGTCTACATCCTTTCGTAGTAAAGCGTGTGTACCCACAGGCCGCCATCATTGGTCATAAACTGTTTTTAATCTTTATTAATGACCTTCCCGATGGCATCGGCTGTCAACATGGCATCTACCTTGACGACACTACCATTTATTCCTGCCTCGACAATAAGGCTGATCAGTCCTACAAGGTCAAAATGGCAGCTGATGTACAAAACGGCCTCAAGGCCGTCGATAACTGGCGCAAAAGGTGGCTTGTAAATTTTAACGCCTTCAAAACTAAACTTCTCTCGATTAATCATCTGAGAGAACACTCCTTGCTTTCTAACCTCTTAGGGAGTGGCTCGTTGCGCCTTCTCTGGCTAACGTTCTCAGCTGACATGAAGTGGAAAGACTATATTGAATACATTGCTAGGTCAGCTGCTAAGAAAATTGTTTCACTGCGTCGGGTGAGACAATTCTTCTCTCCAGAATCTATCTTGCATATCTATGAGTCTACCAATCGTCGATGCTTAGAATATTGCTGCCATATCTAGCCCGGTGCCCCTGCTCTTTACCTGGAGCTTCTTGATAAGATCCAAAGAAGAATCAGCAATATTATGGGGTCTGATGCGGCGGATCGGCTTCAGACACTTGCCCACCGCTGTAAAGTTGCCCCTCTGTGACTTTTTTTAATAAATACTTTCATGGCAATTGTTCGGAAGAGCTCTTTGCTGTGGTACCTAGACTCTATCAATTTAAACGGAATACTAGACTGGTGGTGAGATCGCATCAATTTGCAGTTGTGCTAGCTAGATGTAGCCGTAACTTCTATGCTAACAGTTTTTTTCTTGCACTTCTCGCTTGTGGAACTCCCTTCTGATTCCATGCTTTCAAGCCAACTTTAATTTTCAAAAATTTAAATACAATGTCAATAGCTATCTACTATCATCCTGATTGCCCTTTCCTCTTTCTGCTCATTACTAATGCTTCTGTTCCCAATTCCTCCACACCCTGTAACCTCTTGCGTGTTAGTGGCTCTACCTCCTTGCTTGGGGTCACACCGATTAATATTAAAATAATAAGAAGGAACAGTAAGGTTTATTGTTGAAACTTGACTAATGCAACACAAAATGTACTTAGAACAAAATGTATTGAAACAAGAAAGTGTACACAATATTTACATATAGTCTTTTGTATATTCCTGGTAAGACCGTTCCTGGAGAATGTGTTGACTGAGTCGCAGTCGGGCAGAGTCTCTGGTTGAATCTCTAGATTCCTCCCTCTCTTCCCGGTACTAACCATATTTATATGGTCGGTACTCCACTATGCAAATTAGGTGGATCCTACCACAACATTTATAATCCGATGTTCTTGGCAATTATTTTTATTTAAAAAAAAACAGTGCTCAATACAAGCAGTAGAACATAATATTATAATTATTTTATTTTTAAAAAAGAAATTAATTATAACACACACACACATATATATATATAGTGGCTGGTTACTCGTTTTCAAACACACCAGTATCAAGGGCAACTGGCAAATCCCTATTACAAAACGCACATTCAAACAACAGACTCCATCGGTGTTCTATACTCGGTTCTCCGATTACCAATTCCAAGCCATTTTTCATTACACCACCCACAAATCCAACCTTACAGTATCTGGTATTCCCAAGTAGTCACCCGTCTAAGTACTGACCAGACTTAACGTTGCTTAACTTCGATGATCGTACGGGAACCGGTGCTTCAACGTGATGTGACCGTAAGCCCATATTTATTTTAACAGTGAGGTCATGGAATATATTGTCAAATATAACAATAAACTCAAAGACATTTTAGTAATCAGTCTGCTTTTTCTTCCATAATCTAATTTGCATTAATTTTATCTCACACCAAGAATCGGGACAACTATAATTCATTGAGCGAGTATCTGCTAAACACCCGTTTTCGGAAAGAAAAAACATATTGCCTGCAGCAGTTGCCATTTGTAGCCCCTGACCGTCGGAAACGGAAACTGCTATCTTAGTAAGATGGTAATGCACCATATCCGGTGTTTCCGGTAAGAGAAGATAATAGACGAGTGTCACGTTCCGTCGACATGGATAAAATGCACGCGGGCAAAGGTCATATTTGACAAAAACGCGAGACTGTTGGGAAAACGCAGCAGCTCGCCGGCACGTGGCTCTCAACCGTCACAAGTAAGGGGAGTCGCTTTTTCTTTCATTTCTTCTTTTCTTTTATTGAGATATGAAACGATAGTGAAGAAAAGAAAAGAAAATTGGGGGAGGATATATACGTAAGAACGTAAGAAATGGAAAATAAAAATTCCATTTGTTTATATCGATTTTAGTACATTATTTATTACTCAGTAAATTATAATTTTAAAATATAATCCAAAAATATTTTGTGTTATATATATATATATATATATATATATATATATATATATATATATACGTATATATGTATATATATATATATATGACGTCACATTTAAAAAGAATGTATAATCATAAAAATACATATATATATATATATATATATATATATATATATACATATATATATACATATATATATATACATAGATATACATACATATATATATATATATATATATATATATACATATATATATACATATATATATATATATATATATATACATATATATAATACATATATATATATGTGTATACATATATATATACATATGTTTATATATATATATATATATATACATACATATATATATATATATATATATATATATATATATATATATATATATATATATATATATATATATATATATATATATATATATATATATATATATATATATATATATATATAATAAAATGGACCATGTCGACAATTATTGTCGGGCTGAGTCCATTTGTTAATGTTATGATACACTCCGAGCTGATATGAACGTTCGAGAAAAATCATGGGAAATTTGTTGTTAGCAACAGTAATTTGACTTTGCTGGCAAGACGCTTCCTCTAGCGAAATGGTAACGTAAGACTATATGATGGTTCCGTGTAGGATACAGGTTCGATTCCTATCGGAGGACATATATTTTCTCTGAAATTTCTTGGACATTCAGGCTGGTAAATGAAGTTAAAAATTTCTTGGACATTCAGGCTGGTAAATGAAGTTAATACTGTTTATTATAAACAGCGCATTAACTTAAATATTTGTATCAATAAGAGTATATATATATATATATATAAAAGAACAATTCAGAAAAAGATGGATTCTTTTTTAAAAACGTGAAAATGATTTATCAACTCGGGAGCGTCGAAAAGAAACAAACAACCATTTTATAAGTCTGTTAGCGTGAAACATGCTGTTGATGGGTCAATAATCTTTTAAAAAAATGTTTTGATTTTTTTATCTGTATTAAGCGGCTGTTTTATTACGTATTAAGATCATGAAACTGGTAATAATTCTTTTAAAGTTTGTAGTGACGAGGATTTTATAAGTTTTTAAAGATGCTTTAGAAAAACTCATTTTCGCTCTACACTGAAAATTAGAGCAGGTTGATTTTTCAGATTTTTCAGATAATCAATATTACACTCGATGCAAAACTGCAGTTTGATGTGGTAATTCAACTAAATATTAGATTCATAGCTTTTACCAATTTTTGAGCCTTTAGTTTTAAAGATAGTCTGAAAAAATTCCAGAAATATCTTATTTCCTTAGTTTCTTTCTATCAAACTGACTTCAAAATTTTACCATTTCAAGAATAAATCCAAAAAAATTTGATTTTTGGGGATTAAATACATTGAATGGAAAATATATTCAGAAACAGGATTTTAATTCTGAACAAGCAAAATACGCATTTTTTTACTGTATTCAAAAAGTGAAAACTGTAAAAATTTTAAAAGATTACAAAAAAGGTTAATCAATGAATAAGATCTTACAACATTTGTTTGGTAATCATCAATAAAAACAAAAAATAGATAAAAGTGTGTATGAGACCATAACACTGCTGAGCACAAATTATAAGAAAAAATGTTTTAAATTTGTATTGTATAATAAAAATCGCACTAAAACTATTGCACTGTATAACATATTATATCCTACTAAATGAAGGTCTTATTTGTTGACACAATATTTTAGTAATAATGTGCTTGTGCCGTGCTTCTTATCCATGTGCAATTTGTGAAGCTTCAGTAATTAATTTAACTGCTTTTTTGACACATTGCGAATGTGCAGGTAAACACCAAAATTGATCCATTTATTAGAACCTCTTGCACTTGCACATTATTTGTAAAACCTCCTGTAAGCGCAGGTTCACAAAGGCCAATATGTGAGGGGATTAATAAAATTTGACCAGTGTGTCGCTTCAGAGTTCATTAATTTTTTTTAAATCACTTCTTTGGTGACTTTTATTGGAAAATTTACCCATACTTGGTTATATTTTTGCGATGTAATTTGAAGAAAATTTTTAAATTAGTCTTGGAAATTGACATAACTAATTAATTAGGAATAAATGTTTATTTATCTAATGTACAATTTTTTTTATCTCCAATTCAGCTGACTTTCATATTGAGAAAATAATATTTTCTGGAAGCAAGACGAAAGTTTTTGAACACACACACACACACAATCACACACACACACATGTATATATATATACACAGGTAAACATGTATATATATATATATATATATATATATATATATATATATATATATATATATATATATATATATATATATTTATCTTTCATCTCTAAGGAGATTATCTAGCATTCAATGATATATAGGAGGACTGATATTACTTGTTTGTTCAGTATCTGGCAATTTTTTGTTACTCGCCTTTTATCAAGGAGGAACCACCAACAACAAAATTCATTTAACTTTATTTTTTTATTTTAGATTTACTTATACTGAAATGTTCTAGTGTAATTTACTACTTCAAAAATTTGCTTTTTTTTTTTGGCGTTGGAAAGGGAATCAAACGAGAATATAAATGATTTTATTGTTTTACATTATTCGGATATTGTCCTCATCCTTGTCGCCATATTTATTACAACGTTTCGGTCGTTGTACGCTCCGGTTTCTTCAACATGTTGGAATGTCGAACAGAATCCTTTATTTCAATCACTTGGGTAGATTTCTATAAATAGATTGCCATGTTTAATGGATAAAGATTATCAGTTATCTCCTTTTAAAACCCTCTCCAAGTTCTCCACTGCCTTAAGCGGTTATTGAACTTGCAAAGGAGAATTAAACGATAACTGATAACTGATATCCATTAAACATGTAACAATGGAACTAGAGCAGTCTTTCCCCAAATGAGCGAATAAAACACACAGTTCGACATTCCAACCACCTGAAGAATGGCTTGTTACGTTGTAATAAAAATAAATCACAAAGATTTTTACAATAGTCCGAATAATAATAAATTAGTTTACATAATACCTCATCTAAGAAATATAGAGAGAAAGAAAGTGTCGAAGAGAAGTGAAAATAGTTAAAAAAAAAGAAAAAAAAAGAAAAAAAACGAACAGACAAAAAACACACCTCGTTCATATGTCAGTTCTATGGATCCTAATTACATTAACTATAAAGTTGTTTGTTATTACGTAAATTTTTTTAAAGTCGAAATATATAACCCGATATGGCATGTACACGGTGGTTCGAAAGTCTTGTAATCCCGACATGATATAATTTTCTATTTCAACGCTCTGTGGAGAATTATCAAAGAGAGAGTTTTACATGAACGATACCAGAATACCCCTCAGTTGAAGGACGCCGTTCGGAGAGCCTTTGTAACAATCAAGAAAGCACAGCTTCGTAAAATATTACACAGAATATAGCGTCGCATCATTTTGTGCCACGAAAATTGTGTTCTTACAGATCTTCTCGCTGTGTGACAGCGTCAATGAAAGTGAATAAAATGAATCCAGTACATGTGCTTTGTATTACTTGTTCTTCTATTGTTCTCGTCACTTTTTTTGATACGGGGTGGCAAGGTTTTCGGACCACCCTGTAGAATATTGTGCCTAAATTGTCCATTTATTTATTTATTTTATTGAAAGAAAAGGTCTTTCTTTTTTCTCTCTCCACATAGTTCATTCTATGCGGGTACATTTTTCTAAATTACGTACTGATGATAGGGTGGTCGAACAGATTCACCCCTGGGGATTTGCGGAATTATAATAAAAAGAATGAGATTTGTTAATGATAGCATTTAATATATAAAGCGTTGACCACACCCTTCCTCTCTCACTCTTTCTCTATCCTTCCCCTTCTTTGTCTTCTGTCTTTCCCTCTACACTTCATCTGTATTATCGTCTCAACAAATTTCTCTAACTTTTGCTTACTTCCTCTTAGCAGACAACAATAGCGCCATCTTCCGAAAGTAACAAGATTTTATTTAACATGCAAATCCTATGAAACGCGTGCCTTAAAAAATTTGAAAACCATTTAATTTGCTACCAGTAGATCCATTTTTGTTAAGTTATTAAACTTTTATGTAGTAAACTTGATACCCGTATGTACTACAACAGGAAAATAGAAACTTGTACAAAAAAATGTGTATACAGACTTCAGGAAAAGAAAAAAACTTGTATAGATGTTGTAATAATAAATTTATTCAGACATCACGAGATCAATACAACTTATCTTTGGACTCTGCACCATAAGAGGTGCTCAAAATGATGGGTGTAAGTTTTCAGACATTTATTAGTATGGTTAACTAATGCTTGGGCAACGTTGGCCAAAGTGTTTAATGTGATTGCTACACATAC